CGATCTTTCAATGTGAAGCTCAATAAGAAAAACGACCCTGAAGCAGCTGCTTCACTGCGCAGAAGCAGTGTGTACATGGCAGAAACTTGTGCTTGAGCAGGCCGTACTACTGCAAGGTGCCGTCCGACACACCACTGGAAACTTGCACCATCCCCGATGTTATGCGAAGCTGGGTGGGTTCTTGGCCGCAGAAAAGAACCACGCCAAAGCTCGCGTGTGCATTGCCACGTTGCTGCAACAGGCATGACCTGGCGCGGAGCTGAACTCCGTTCGAAAGTATTGCGGGCTGGAGCGGTGGCGAAACAAGGCAGTAGAGACCTTGTTGGCGTAGCTCGAAAACGGCATTGAGTTTCCAGTTGCCTTCTTGAGTTCGCAGGCGGGGCCGAAGCTTTCTTGTTTAGCTCCAAAGGTTCTGCACGAAACTTCGTAGAAGCAGATTTGGCACGAGCACAGAGCTTCGCGCCAGGATTCGGTAGAGCTACTCAGAAACGGAAGTTGGAGACATGTGCAAAACTTCAACAACTGGGCTCTCCCATCCAGCACAATGCAACAAAAGTCAAAGGGTGAAGAATTACTTCACTCATGCAGAAATGCAGCCAGCACCCCCTGAATATGATGCTCCCGCAGCTTCAGGATGAACAGACAACTCACTGGATACTCTCTCTAACGATGAACCCTGCACATGCAAACACCCCAGAGACCCCAGCGCCGATGAATGTAAACGCAGCTGGCTGCACTATTTTCACTGGCATGCCCAAGCGAAAGACAGAACTCACGCTTAAGCATGGCCGTTTGGAGATGCCATCACCCAAGCCGTGGTGTCGTTTCTTGGTGCAGCTCTTGTCGGAGCTCGTCTCGGCATCGGCCTCCAGCAGCAAACGGAGGCACTCCGTGTGGCCGTTTTTGGAGGCTAGCATCAGCGCAGTTTCACCCTCTTTGTTGCTGAGGTTCTTGTCGGCACCGGTGGCTACCAACAAGCGCACGGCCTCAAGATGGCCTTTCTGAGCAGCCAGCATCAGGCCAGTGAAGCCGTCATTGGTGGCTGACTTCGTCTCGGCACCGGCCATCAGGAGCTCGCGCAAGACTTCAACATGACCCCTGTGGGCTGCACTGATCAGGGCAGTGACACCGTTGCCATTGGACGAGGTCTTATCGGCACCGGCCTTCACCAGCAATCGGACGACCTCGGCATGTCCGTCTTGAGAAGCCAGCGTCAAGGCAGTGAAGCCGTAATTGTCAGTCAAGTTCGAGTCTGCATCCGCCTCCAGCAGTGCGCACAAAACTGCCAGATGGCCTTCTTCAGATGCACGCATCAGGGCAGTGAAACCGTTATGGTCGGGTATGCTGGTGTCCGCACAGGCCTCCAGAAGCACCTGCACAACTTCAGTATGACCTGCTTCAGATGCAAGCATCAGTGGGCTTGCGCCGCGGATGCCGACCACGTCTGGGTGGATTGGCTGCTGCAGTGTGGCCTCAACCTGAATGATTGCGACATGGAAAAGTACATGGAAGTCCACCAGTGCCGAAGGTTTCAGGGTTTAGGAGTTTAGGATCCGGAAGGACCTGGGAGCCCAACCTTGGACATGGAGCCGTCTGCAGAGGCAGCCATGAGCTCGTTCACTTGCATCTGCGACGGCGTTGCATATGGAAGCAATACCAACTCAAGGTCCATGGGCATATCGAGCTTGGTGGCATCATGTAGCCGATTACCACAGAAAAATAGTCTTTGTCGAAATCGTGTAGGCAAGCGGTGCAGCTGGTTCAGCCGCTGCTTCACTGCCCTCACATCCCTCACCTCCACCAAAGGCATGCTCGCCACCTCTTCCCCGGACAGCATCCTGACTCGCAGCTGCATTGCTGTGGAGAACCTGGGGCCGCACGGCACGGGGCTCCTGCCGCCCAAACTGCAAGGAGAAAACAATGCGGCATTCTGCTGCACGTTTGTCCCGTCTAGGTTACTCACGAGAATTACAGCCTCACAAACCCGTGAGCTCACCGAAACCTTTCAGGTGTGGATGTGACCCCTCCTCACCGATCCCCCAGTAGTGTTGGATGTCACTGCCACTCTGCGACTACGGCGGCGACTACCGCGACGACATCGAAACCCAACACTACGACCACAATCACTAGCCGGAATGCTGCTACTGGTGCTCTCCTACGACACCACTTCCACTGCCAGTGCCAGGTCAGTATTACGACCACGAACATCACCACCGCCCACCGCCACCACAGCACCACGACCACGTGCTGCTGCTGCTTCCGCTGCTGCTCTTGCCTTCTGCTACTGTTTGTGTCAAGAGTTGTTCATCTTCATGGTGAAACATGTTAGCCACGATGATGCTGATGACAACAAAGATGATGACGGTGATGCCGACGAGGAAGATGGTGGTGCGGGTAATAACGAGGCTGATCGCGAGCAGGCCCAAGCTAGTTATTGGAGACCTTTCGGCCCTCTGTGCGAGCCTGTCCAGCGATCTGATTCAGAAAGCCGATTCGAACCCCCTAGATCTGATTGGAGCAACTCCCGATCAGGCAGATAAGTCAACCTGCGCATGCCTCAGAATCGAAACTCTGGCATTTTGCTGCCGCATCCACCTCTCTTATCCTGCACAGGTTCAGTTGCAAACGATAGCCTGCAAGCACTTGCGGACTTCCTCGGCCCTTCCTTGCCAGCACCAACAAAGAAACCTTCCTTGACGAGCAGCTCCTCTGATAGTTCCCAAAGTCTGCGTGCAGCTTCGGTGTCCGTGGCGAACTCGGAAGGTTTTGCGGCAGCACAATCTCGGAAGTATTCACCTGTGACACCTTCTACTTGCGGAGCCGTCAAGCAAAACACGCTAGTAGCGGCCCCTTGAACCTCGTCGCGATCTTGAAAGACTCCGAGCAACACTTTTCCTTTCAAAATCTGCTGTCTTCCAAGGGAAGTCGAGATAACACCTGGATGAATAGCATTGGAGCTCACAAGATCGCCTCCTGGTAGGAGAGCGATGCGCTTTGAGAGCTCACCTGGCAGAGTGTCGCCGCCATATTCTGCTTGAAATTTACAGCTACCGAATTACTCGGCGAGACCGGGAAACGCAAACTTATAAGTGGCTGCCCAGCGACGAGCAAACAAGATGTTGGCAAGCTTGGACTGCTGATAGGCGCGCCAGTCTCCGTATTTAGCAGCACTGGGAGGCCAGTCACTGAAATCGTACCCTTGATTGGGAGCTCTGTGGGCCTCGGACGCCAAAGTAACCACTCTTGCCGGAGAAGACTCCGCGATCCTCGCTGCAAGAGCCCTGGTCAGCGCAAAATGCCCCAGGTGGTTCGTTGCGAACTGCATCTCAAACCCGTCTTGGGACGTGTCATACTTTGGAATTGCCATAACACCTGCGTTCAGACAGAGCAGATGCAATGGCCGACCTTCCTTGAGAAACGTTGTTGTGAACATGCGAATGGAACTCAGAGAAGATAAGTCCAGCTCGACTACTTCTATGGTGGGCGCCGGTCGACCAGCCGCTTGCAGCGCTTCTTCCATACTCTTTTTGGCGCTTTCTCCGCGCTTGGGGTCCCGACAGGCCAGTAGAACATGTGCACCGCCGTATGCAAGCGCCAAGGCCGTGTGGTAGCCAATGCCTTGAAGGGCAGACAGAGCACCCATCGAATGCACATGAAGCAATTCTTCTGGAGCTGAAACTTGCGGGTGTCGCAAGGCCGTTGCACATGCATGATCATCTGCTACATTGGAATCACGGAGGTCAGCATGTCAAGGAGATTGTGCAGACTGTGTTAGCTCTGCTCGCTGTACTACTTGGACCGTCCTCATGCACAGCCTTACAGAAAAGACTGCCGAATCAGATTAGCGACCTGAGTTGGCCCCGGTGACCAAGGCCGTCTGACTCGGCAACCTTGTGGTATCCAGCACCTCCCAAGCTGTGCTCTGCTTGTTCGGACCATCTGGAGAACGCAAAGCCGCGCCCACCACGTCTGCAGGTGGAATCTGCTTCTCTGCGGACTTCGTCGCACTCCCAAATATGCTGAAAAAAGCTCTGTCGCCAGGCAGAGACGAGGCAGCAAAAGCTGCCCAAGCAGCTACGGCTGCTACGGGCCCCCTCCGCGTGCAGCTGCGCCGACAGGCAGCAGATCTAACAACTCTGGCCATGGCAGCTTCGATTTGCACTAGTTAAGCGCAATCAAGGAATCTGATCTTTTGTCACGGAAAGCATACAATGGCACAGGCACAAGCTTGAACCGAATCTGGTCAATGCTTCGCGAAGTAGTCATGCGCATGGACATGCTCCCACGTGTTCGCACTGCAGCACTTGTACCCTCATGGCGATCTCGGCTGAGGGTTCTCAATTTCTGCACCCGAGTTCGCCAACCCGACGCCCCAGAGTCATTCAGAGAGCCTGGCCCAAAGCAGCAGCTGAAGATAGCGATAGGACCTGAGCACGAACAGGATGGCAGGACCAGAGGTCGTGGCAGACACGATTGCGAAAAGTGCGTAGCACGCAACTTCTGTTTCCCTGCAATGCTCAGGCATGGGGACGCAGCTGCACAAAGCCCCCCCATGTCTCCTTCTACTGTGCAACACCCAGCTCGTAGGTAGCATGTCGGAATACGTGAGATAAATGCTTCGCATTTCTCACGTGAATAAGTGTTTGTGTCAAGTGCGTGTGTGTGTGTGTGTGTGTCGCACACAACGTGCATATACATACATATATATATATATATATATACGTATATATATATATATATATATACGTATTTATATATAGATGTACATATACATACACATACATACATACATACATACATACATACATACATATGTATATATATATATACAGATACGTCATATGTAAATGGCAGCATGTGCAGATGCGTGCAGTTAGCATGTAGGATGTTGCCAGCGCCAACCCGGTTTCACAGACTGAGAATGTGGAAACATGAACGGATGTGGATGCCATGCATCACGTACACACAGAGACACAGACAGACAAACATTGATCTCGCATCTAGACCTTCAGCGCAACGATCTTGGGCGTGCCGTTTGCAAGTTGGCCAAACCACAAAGCGCCCAGGTAGGGGCACTTCTTCTGCGTCTTCTCCTTCAAGCCGAATTGATTGATTTCGGCTTCTCCAAAGGCTGCCTTCAATAGTTCAAGGTTGTCGTTCCACTCTCTCTCCAGAGCTTTCCAGGCAGCCTCATTCATCTGAAAGCTGTTGGAGTTCTGGTGAAGCCCGACGAAATAGCTGGTCGCGGTCGATTCCGCCTTTCCAGCCACCAGGCCGATCTCTTTCATCTTCTTCATCCACTCGCTGTTGTCCATCTCGAGAAGGACCTCGTAACCGTGACGAGGCTCGGTGAGGTAGCTTTCGGAGTATTGCATGTTGTTCCCCCACGGCTGGCCAGAGGTGCGTGAAATGGCAGCAGCTGTGCAGCCCAGCCAACCCCTTGCCTCTTCCAAGGACATCGCACGGTAGAAGTACCTTGTATCATCGATTTTCCTGGGGCACCCCGGATCTTGGAGATTGGGAACCATGGCTTTCCCCATAAAAATCCGTGAGCCATCTGCACGTTCATGATGTGGTTGAAGGCCAAACCTTCGAATCCACTCCTCCTTGGACTCAATGCCCGACATGGAGGCAACCCTGTACCTTACCGGGAAGCTACACAGCGCTCAAAGCAACTGCGGCCGAAACGGCTCGCTGCTGCATAACAGTCTCTGCAAGTTGGGCTTTGGCTTTGGGGTGAAGGTTTCGACTCTCAGCTTCTCGCATTCGGCTCTCGCAACTCGAACAAGCGAGGCAAGGATCCTCACAAGTCGAAGTAAAGCAATACAGCTTTAGGGCTCAAGGTCACGACGAAGATATGTAGTTCGTTGTCTTGTAAGTTTGCTAAGTAATCGAAGGAAAGTGTTGTAACTGGGTTGGGAGTTCAGGACTCTTGCAGTCACTCCAGGGCCAGGGCCGCGCAGTCGCCATGTCAAACGGCGCCTGGGCACAGAGAGGGGCAGGCGATTCTCAACCGTGCCGCCTGCAGCATACATGCCATATTGGTTAACATATCCGTCCCAGTTCTCAGGCAACTAAAACGGTATTCATGGCAATACAGGCCTAAACCTGCACGGCCATCGCACAACCCACATTGTCACTGCAGCACACTTGCGGCAGGCTGCTATGAGTAACACTACAAGCCACCTTCCTCACACAAATGCGGACACAGCCGCCCGCTCATTCGCTGGATGCTTGCAGGACCGTACAGGAATATGATTGGAAAACAGTTTTCGCTGCCTCGGTAGAACGCGGCAACTGGTCAACGTGCTATTGTGTGTGCTGTGCTTGGCCATGCGGTGTGCCTCCCAATGCGATTTTTCTTCAACTGACAGCCGGCCCAAAGACGGATTTCTTGAGACCCGGATGGATTGCAAGATGACTGGGCGAACACAAACGGCAAGGCTAGCTTGCATCAGCAAAACCTTCTTCGGAAGCAGATAGCATACTTCGGCCCAGTGAAGCTGTCCCAAAGAATAACACTTTCAACCGTGGTACCGAAGAGTGCTGGATGAGAGGCTTTCAAGGTTGAGGGTCCCAAGACTTGACGCACGGAAAGTTTGTTCATGCCCGGCACCTGCCCGTGCTGCTTTAGCACGGGTGGTGACACATTTTCAGGATTGTAGAAGCAAACAATTTGTGGCAAGCCTGCCACGGACAAAGCACCGTCAAATCTTCGCCCGAACTTGGGCGAATTTCGCTGTAAGCACGGCCGCTATCAAATGTTATGGGTCGCCTGCTTTGCAATTCAGCCATTCGCAGCATATTGATACAAGCATATTCAGGTACAGACTTATTGGCATGATTGGGTGGGTAATTCGGGGCCGATCCCCTTATCACATTTAGGGTTTAAGGTTGTCTACTGTCATGTGTCCACTGCTCATCCAAAATCCGCGGCGCCTGGCCGCAGACATAACTCAGACAGTCTAACCGTTAGAGTCTAACCTTGAGGCGTGGGACTTGAAGGTGCAAGATGCCTAACAAATACTAACTGCTACTCAAGCCGTTGCATTGCATTGGTTTTCCTCGCGATGCTCCCCATGATTGTAAGCGCCGTCTCAATCGGAAGTATGCCAGTCCTTCTCACGGGCTTCGTTGTACTGCTCTCGGCTCAGTTCGAAAATAGACAGTCCACGCTCACGGCACTGCCTTTTCAAGTTCTGGTCGGCCTTGTTGCGGCGCTTGATGCTTTGCATCGTTGGAGGAAGATTCTTGGCAGCAAGTTGAACGTCCGAGTCCTGGAGGAAATTCTCTGCGGCAGACTTCTCAGCTTCCTTTTCTGTGCTGCTGGGCACCCCCACATAGACTTTGCAATTGAAGCTGGGTACGTGCAGCTCTGCTTGAAATTGACCGTTCGCATCCGGAGCCCGCTTCACATACCGGTAGTGCTCGCAGGTGGGGTCCAAGGCAAGATAACGAGTCAGGAAAGTCCTGACGCTTGACTTTGGGTGATCTTTGCTGAGATCGAGGACCTTGCTCTTTTCCACCGTGGGGATTTTGTGACGCTTGTGCCACCCGCGGCTGCGCCTGACATCCCAGGACTGATCCCAAGAGGTGGCTTCTGATTGCGTCCTCTCGGGCTTTGGCTGCACAGTCTTTGGCCCAGTCTCGTCCTGCTAAAAACAGGGATGAACCGTTAATTCATCTTGGACCTGTTTCCCGAACAAACTTGAATCAACCCTCCGAAAACCCGGCCCCGAGAACAGGGCAAGGAATCTCTTCCCGGCATACGAACTGCATGTAGAATTGCTACATGCCTGGACGAGCTTGGACGCAGCATCGTCTGGCGACGTCAAGCCTAGCTCCTGTGTCTCCACCTCTTGCTTCACATGTAGCTCTGTCGACCCTGTACCGGCCATTGCAGACAGCTTGCCTCCCTCTTCTGGTTTAGTATGTGTCGTGACGACGCATGCATCTAATCGAAGCTTGCTACGCTAACACGGTTGAGATAATCGAAGGTTGCTAGGCCCTCCCTGCTAGGCTAAGACTTGCATACATGCAACTGCGAGGGCTGCAACTGCTGCGTGGCTGGTGCGAAGGCTGTACAAACAAGACACGTCATGGACTACAGAATGCTCAATGCAGATGCCCATCGAGGAAGGCTCCAGAGATGCAGGCGGAACGATCAACAGTCGGCTGGCTAAGCTGCGTATATGCACGAGACACTGTCATTACATGTCATTACCATGAAACCAAAACTTGAGACTACTCTCCACGCTCCTCTCCGTGTGAACTACGGCCTCATACACATCAAGCTCGCCCACCCTCGGACACTGGACCCTGTAAAGCTGATGGAACTGCCAGACTCCGACTCCTGTACAAGCAGAGGCGGCCAGCCGTAATCATAACTTCGAACCTTATCCATGATAGCGAAGACCTTCAAGAGTCATGCAGGAGCCTTTTCCAAGACGACTCGATGCCAACGACACCCGAACCTCAAAGGACCACACCACACACAGTGCCCTCTGTTCTCCTTTGCTGAGCCTGCACAAGCACCCGGATACACCGCTCAAAGGAGTTAGTTGAAGCATAAAATGCATAAAACATGGTAGGCTACCACGAGCCGGAAGCAACCTTGGGCGCGAGCAGTCTCTGAGGGAATGATTGGGAACACCAGGGAGCGCCGAACTGCCGCCGTCAGAACCCTTCTGAGCAGCATAGGCAGTAGTATTACCTGTAGGTCCCATATAGTTTAGGATCGCCTCCTGGTCAAGACGGTCCGCGACGAGACATGGAAAAGCAGCCAGGCTTTAGCCGTATCTCCGCTGTGCGGGGCTGCTGTCTGCATCGCGGAGCCGTCGCCTTTTGGAATCTTTGTGCGTGGCACTGGGGCGTGCGGGCCTTCAGCAAAGTGGGGGACTTTGCAAACAGACGTCCACGGGCAAGCACCTAACGATCCCACCGGATGTGTTGTTTACATGGCATCGTGCAGAGCCGCCTGCGCCCACTGCCAGCAAGGAAGAGACAAGCAGGGAACAAAAAGCTTTGTGCTGGAACCTGGTGCAAACTCTCAAGAGTTGGCCTGGGGCAGCTAGGTAAGCTGGGCCAGCACCAGGGTCAACACGGCTGCCATGTTTGCAGAGCGCCAAGCTCCACTCAGGAGGGCAACATCCGCAATGCGAGACGTTGTGGTGGTTGTCGTCAAGTTGCTGACTGATTCCGTGCTCGAGAGAAAGTCACCTGGAGTGCTCAGCGGCCCTTTTATGCAGAACATCTCGCATGCTTTTCTTCACTTGTGACTTGTGAACCACAATACAGATGCTGAAAATGTCTAGCATGTGTGCACCTTGACCATCCAATCTGGCGCCACTACTCGTCGTGGCAGCTGCGGCCCCGCCACTGGGATGTTCCGGATGGCATGCGCCGTCATAGGTCTGCCGAAAGCGAGTAACCTCACTAGATGATGAAGAGGCAGCAGGCTTCTCGTCGCGAAATTTATCATACTAAGATCCGCACAACGCGAATTTCTACATTGAATTGAAATTTGTCCCACCTGGCGCTCTTCCGCAGGTACGCGGTACTCGTGGACGCCATGGGTGACTGAGCCAACCTCGCAGCTCTTCAAGAAGTCCACCAAGGCCTCTGCGCATGATCCCGTGAAGAGGGGGTGAGATCAGCAACGGGTTTACCCAAGTAACCAGGGTTGACTGCCTCCTTTTGTGCTGGGGACCTAAAGGGCAGCGGATTGCTACTCAAAAGATCAGATGGAGCTACAACCCAAACAGTCAGCGATCGGGGCTGTCCAAACCTCACTAAGCTCGAGAACAGCAGCCTCCAAGCGAGACGAGCACGCGTGCTCAAGGCCTTAAAGCTTTCTTATTGCCTGCAGTGCAATTCCGTGGGTACTTGAACGCAAAGAGCGACACGAAGTCTAAAATCGGAGCACAGTCGCTGCAACAGTTCCGACCCCACGCTTCGCTCACTAAGTTTGCTAGGATGGCTGTATGAAGTAATGAGAGGAAGCCCATATGTTACAGTTGCAGAAAATGTCATGGCTTCAGCTCAGAGCGGTTGTCCAGCACAGCGCGTGCCTGCTCAGTCGCATTGTATCCCCGGTTCTCATCAGCACTGCAGCGGCCGCATGTCAGCGGGCAGTACCTAGTCGCAGAGTTGCATCCCAAAGTCCACTTTGGGAAGTTCAGTACGTGGCAATCTTTGAAGCTGCAATTATAGCTCCTTGCCTTTCCTGGCTGTTTGCAAACTCCAAAGAAGCTCAAGAGTTTCATGATGCTGTACCTTATGAAGATCCAGGTGCTCGGCTGTGGAGCTGCAGAAATGGGGAACTTCGTGGCACAAGGCAGGCCGACAGGAAGCTTGGCAGCGGGTAGGGCCATAGCCTTTGCCACCACCTGGAATTTTTTTCTGCAGGACTTTCTCAAACCGGTGCTTCTCTGTGAAATGCATCCGCGGATGTCTAGCCCGAACCAAGCTCCCCATAGCGACAGGCATGACGCTACCTTATGAAACAGAAACATATTTTGTTCATGCCCCTTGCCTGCATCCACTGAGTCGAAGCAGGTGTCCGGATTCGGGGGAAAGGGCTGGAAGCACGGGTCATCGGTAGGAAGCTCCACGGAAGACACCAACACAAATTCACTGTCGGCCTCTTTGGGGCAATCCACCTCGCACACCTTCCACCTCTTGATGGTCCTGCCCCTGCCTGCATAGATGATGGCACATCCATCTATGACGCGAGGTGCATCGCCTTGCGGCGTGATCAACCCTCCCTCCATGGCCCACAACGGCTTGACGATGCGAACGCTGTCATCAACGATCATCAACTCCGTCCGAATGATCTGCTCGCGCCAGTCGCTGGATTTGTCATACCAGTCAGCTGTGACGACGCTTATGCAAAAGTCCACATCTGCAGCAATCTCCCTGCAGTCGGCCTCGGTCATGGGCCTTGCCAGCCATTGCTCCCACATTAGGAGGATGCGGTTCTCGGCCAGCCGCACACTCTTCGGCTTGTTCATTATGAGCCATTTGTGCTCGTAGTTTGTGAGCCAGTTGATGCCGCGGTGCGACTGCGATGTCCATTCACCACGAAAGCCGTAGAAGCCCCCTGTCTCGGTCTCGGTTGCACCGCCGGAGAGCACCTTCTTTGGACGAAACTGTTGTGCAATCACTCTTCGCTTTTGGGGTCCGTGCCGATGTGGATGCGGGGGCCTAGACCTAGAAACAATTGTGTTGCAGAACCGCACCTGTTTGGCGGCAATATTCTTGCCGATCTTCAGCCAGCCCAGGTTGCGAGGGGACTGCACTGTGTGCTCGTGGGTCTCCATTGCACTGTTGTCCAGCGGCGGCCGCTCGCCAGCGAAGAAGATGAGGTATCCATCGGACACCTCAACGATTCCTGGATGCGCTAACACAGTATAGACCTGGTTGTCATTACTCCACTTATAGAAGGTGTTGCCGTTCACGGATATCTCAGGATACACTGGAAAACTGCTGCCCGCCGGATTCTTGGGTCCAGAACCGTGACGCGTCTTGAACATGTAAGGTGTGAAGCCCAAGTCCTCGTGCAATCCGCTACACTCTTCGAAACATGTTAAAGTCAGGGCACTGCCACTTGCACACAAGTATCTGACTCAGCGCGTCCTAGATACAAACGGCGACTCACGTTCTCACCTACGACAACCGCTGCTTCAGATTTTAGAGACTCCTTGTTGTGAGCATCCATCTTGATCACCTGCAACCCGCGCGGGGACCCATCATCAAGCTCCAGACCGATGAAGCCACCCGTCGGATCTGTGATCATGGAATTTTGAAAGGAATGGCTACCAGTCTGGTAGTGGCCAGCCCCGGTAATCTCCATCCTGTCAACATCGAAAACAAAGCCTAAGCCACGCTGGTGATTCAGACCGTCGGGTGTGCGGAACATGCGGTGGGAGAAATAGACACCGATGTTGTTGTTGATGGGATCGTAACGCAGCGCCGCAGTGTTCTCCGTGAAATCATTCAAGGACATTGCCTGGCTGGGCAACTCCCTCCGGAATTGCTGCTTATTGCGCTGCGTGTCCCAGTGGACTATCCAAGCTTGGCAGGGCTCCGTGGGCCCAACAGTCCACCCACCCATGAGCTCATTGCTGATCCATTGCGTCACGTCCTGTATCTCCAAATAATAAATCTGTCCGTCATTGTCAGAGGTTGCCCCCGCCAGCCAAGGGTTGTGATTATCCTCCGCAAGTCTCTGGGTAGTGTGCGTTCCGTCATCTTCGAACCAAGTCAAGAAGATTGGTTTTCCAACCAAGTTGTTGCCATATTCCTGCCACATCACACCCTCTGCGCCATCTGCCCTAGTGACCTGGTGGAAGAGCTCGTTCTGGCCGTAGGTAGTGCCACGGTCATACGGGCCACGGTTCCTCGACGCATCGTCTCGAGGTGCCTTGGGTACATCATGGCTGGTCTCGGTGATCCGAAACCCACCGCCTTGCGCCAGCAACGTGTCTGCCCCCACGGCGCAAGGCAAGGCCAAGAGCAGGACCCACATCACTGAGAACTGAGAACGCTGTGCCCCAAAACTGCAGCACGGATATGCTTAGAGCAGCCCAGCTTAACGTCCTCCACATCAAGCTAATCTTGCCATAGGACAAGGTTCTGTGTTTGATACAGCACTCTTCGCAATAGCTTGTCAGTGTGTTGCTGCGTGTTATGGTCTTGGGGCCCCGCGTGGTGCAAAGGAGCATGGAAGCCTTCAGACATTGTGATCCAAGTAGCACGTCGGGGCCTTTTATCCTGGGGCATCAAACGCAGCAGTTAATGGTTTCCCCGCCTCGGGCTGCAAGATGCTCATCAACATGAACCCCGGTCCAACATAAAGCTAAACGATTTCAACTTCCTGCTTCCCAGCACATGTTGACTGGCTTGTTGACGTTTGTTGCAGACTGTGCAACGGTCAGACCCTTGGGGAGCCGCATGTGCACAAAGCGGGGGAGGGTGCGCGTTACGTGGCCAAGCAACCGTCCACTTTGGAAAAACATGTTGGTGCAGTCGCATCATAGCAAATACAAGTGCACTCGAAACGACGAGCCTGCCGATTTCCTCTGCTGCTGGCAGCGCCGGACCAACATGCTTGCGATGAGTGCGTGAAAGAAAATGTGCTGTTTACTGTAGGAGCTGCTTTCGTGTACTATTTGTGCCAAGAACACAACGGTAACTATTATGCGGCGATATTAAGGGCTCCGGATTCAAGGCACAGGAATTAAACTTGACTTCTGGACTAAAGCCGCGAAACCTTTGTCACTTCCCAACCCCTTTTGGCGCCAAGGAGAGAGAGCCGGGTTGAGCCCTTTCGGGATCCCTTTGGGCCACTTCGGCTGCCAGCGCAAGCGATGGGCTGAAGAAGGTCATATGACGTGATTCTTTGTTATACGTGGCACCTGGAAAAGAACAACGGAGAGATGCGTTGAAAATACCTGCACTGTGCACCTGGACTACAGCTCCAAAGGCAGTTCCATGTACAAATACAATGCGAAGGTCCCACCTCGACGTTCAATGGGGTGCGGGACCCGGCCCTAGAAAAATGTGATTCGTGTGGACCAGGTGGGACCCGGGTGGGACCCGGGTGGGGCCCGGGTCCCCTGTGACAGCTCAAACTGTGCTGTTGGATGGAATGACTGCATCAGAACAAAAGAAATTGTGATGATTTTTGTAAACTGAAAATTCAATTTAAAAAGGAATGTGTCTGGAAAGGGTGAAGGGCGGGGCCAAAAACGGGTCCGGAATTCAGCATCGTTTTTGGATGAGAGCTCCGCTGACTCATCGTTGCGGGGACGGAAACTCTTTTACCTCGCCGCTTGCATGCTGCTGCACCGAGCCCCAGCTGAGGCCCGCATCCCCACAGCCGAGCTCGAGCGCCGCTGTGAGTTCTTCCGTCTGGCCCTGCCTCATCACTGCTGCCGAGGCAGCTGAGCCTGACACTGCACATGCCGCCCGGACAAAGGTCGAAGCTCGAGCTGCAAAGGCCACTGCACTCGTCCACCTGGGGGAGCTGTCCGCCGCCGCACGGGCCCTCGTCTCCGAACCACTTGCGCCAGGTTCTTCCAACACGCTCCAAGAGCTCCGCGACCCTGCGAACCGGCCGCAAGCTCCTTACGCTCCTCCCGATCCTGACCCCTTCGCGTTCAGGCCAGCAGAACCGTGTGCGCTCCCTTTGCATCCGTTCCTCGCGTCGTTGCGGACCGCTCGACGAGGATCGGCCACTGACCCTCAAACGCACAGTTGCGCACAATAATATTGCTCGACGACAAAGCTACCGTTTCTGACGTTGTGATGGGCGCAAGATTGCCTGTCTCATGTGAGGACATTGGAGTTGAAGAGGTGGTTGAGGCTGCACGTAACCTCAAACATGGAAAGTCTGCTGGCCCTGACGGCCTGCCTCCCGAGTTTTGGAAAAGCATTTGCAAACCAGGTTCTCGCGCATGCTCTTGGGCAGTAGCACTGTGCAACAGAGTTCGGCATTTCGCGGATGTTCCGGAGCCTTGGCATGAAGCATTGGTCACTGCAATTTTTAAGAAGGGTGATGCTAGTCAGTGCGAGAATTATCGACCAATCTCATTACTGTCCGTTGGCTATAAGCTTTTCTCTTCGGTTTTACTTCGTCGCTTGAAATCAGCTGGGGCAGAATCGAGAATCTGGCATACACAGTTTGGATTCCGCTCCCAGAGAGGCACAGCTGACGCAATATTTGTTGCACGACGTTTACTGGAACAGACACTGGCACACAAGGACGACCAACTGGTGTTCTTAGCTTTGGATTGGTCAAAAGCCTTCGATAGCGTGGATCCTGACCGGCTTTCCCATGCTTTGTTCCGATTCGATGTGCCGCAGAAATTCCGAGATGTGGTACGTGCGATTTACAGCGACAGACAGTTCAGAGTTCATGATTGTGGGCGAGATTCTTCAATGCGAAAGCAGGCTTTTGGGATTTCTCAAGGATGTCCACTGTCCCCATTCCTGTTCTCTATGATGATGACCGTACTGCTGTTCGACGCTTCCGCCGACTTGCGTTTGCGCATGCCGCGTTCTGAATCGGACTTGGCAATCGATGAGCTTGTGTATGCAGACGACACCGTTGTTGTAGCTTTTTCAGCATCCCGGGCTGCAACTTACATGGATTGCATTGCTAAAGCTGGCGGAGATTATGGGCTGTGTTTCAATTGGCGCAAAGTTGAAGCCATGCCGATTCGCTGCGACTTCAATGTGTTGAAGCCTGACGGTCACCCTATTGAATGTAAATCGTCCTTGGTTTACTTGGGTAGTCTGTTGGATATATCTGGGGACATCGGGCCAGAGCTCAATCGTCGGCTTGGTTCGGCCAGGGCCGATTTTCAAGCTCTCAATAAAGTTTGGAAACATGCTAGCATTCCCTTGCGTCGCAAAATCACCATTTTCGATGCGTGCATTGGCTCGCAGTTGCTGTACTGCCTGCACACAGCTTGGCTGAACAAAGCATTCCTTCGAAAACTTGATGGCTTCCAGGCTCGATGTCTACGCAAGATTCTTGGAATCCCGCACTCTTTTCTCAGCCGCGTGTCCAACGTGGAGGTTCTGCAACAAGCTGTGGCCAAACCATATTCCAAAATTTTGACGCACAGACAACTGCAGCTCATTGGCAAGATTGCTGCGCTTCCTTCCTCGGACGTCATGCGAACATGTGTTTTTGAGGAAGGTTCGTATCAGCTCCAAGGTCATATGAAACCGAGATGTCGAGGCCGCCCCAAACAGGTGTGGACCTCCCAGGTGTTTCAGTTAGCTCTACAGGTGGCAAGAGATTTTGATGAGTTGAAGCGTTTATGGGCGTCTCCACCGAACGTGTGGCGACAACGTGTACAATCTTTTTGCTTCGGGAACTAATTCTTCCTTCCATGCCCATGTGTCACTGTACACGAGGCTTTGACTGACTGACTGACTGACAAAGCGTGCGCGGCGCCCTCCCGGGCCCGGCGCTCTCCCTCGTCGACGACGCGCGCTGCCGCGGACCTGACGAAATCGTCGCCCCGCTCTCCGTCACCAGAATTGTCCGATGGTGGAGAACCGTGAGGGGAGTTCGCGCAGCGGCGGGGCCTTGTGCTGTGACGCGACACTCGTGTCTCCCTTGACGCGCACGGGACACCCGCAACCTTGTGCAGCGGTGGCCGCACTCAGGGTAGCAGAACGCCGGAAGCTCACTACCTACCCAGAGCTTTCCAGCGGCGGGCCGCAGCAGCTCGTCGTGTTGGGCTCGGAGGTGGACGGACACTGGAACGACCAGGCGTGCCCTTTCGTGCGAGACCTCGTCCGGTTGAAAGCTCACCGGGCCCCGCCGTGCAGCGGCGTCGCCGGCTGGGCGAAGCGCTGGTGCGGCATGTTGTCCGTGGCGGTGCAGCAGGCCGTCACCAGCACGGCATTTGGCGTTCGGGAGCAGCCACTGCAACCAAAAACCAGTGAAGGCCCGCCGATTGACACCCTGCTCCACCACGAGGCCCCCGCCAGCGCTGACGCGAGTAGCGTAGTCTGTAGCCTGTCAAGTAGACTGGTCAGCTGCAACCGCGGCCAGAAACTCTTTCGTTGGGCAGCTCGAAAAGTCCGTTGCCCAAACGAAAGTTCTCGCCATGGCCAACTTGCAGGGCAGCCGGTGCTTCCGGCAGGGGAAGCTGCGCATCACTATGCTGGCGCACAGCAGCAGGCGCAGCAGCGTCAGCAAAGGCGCCGGGGTTTATCATTTTGTTTTTTTTTTGCGCGCCTTTTTACGACAGCGAAGAAAATCCCGAGTCAGCCTACTGCGTGCGGGGCCGTCTGCACCCCGCGTTGCGCGCTCAGAGTCGAGTGGGCGCCGGGGGCTGGTGCCAGGAGCTCCCCGAGTGGGGGTTCCAGGCCGTCCGTTGGGTCACCAGGCCCCGCGATGGGTAGCTCGAGCAATGAGCACGCATGCGCGCGTAGGGCGGCGAGCGATGCAAGCGCCGTCCAGCGGTGCGTCATGGCTCGCTGCGCTCCGACCGCACACCACGGCGGCCTTTGGCGGGCCCGCGCCTTCGCGAGCAGTCGCAAGAAGGTGAGCGTGTTCGGGCTGATGCGCCCTCCGACCTCGACGCCGAACACGACCAGTCGGCAGCGCCGGGCTTGTCTCAGTTCAGGGTAAGTCCGGCGTTTGCGGTCGACTGCTTGTGCCAAGGCGAGGCCCGGTTGCTGGTCAGCCCGCGTGCGGGGCTGGCCATCCCGGCGACCGGGCTTACAAGGTTGCGTCAACGGCGACTTGGGCGCCCTGCCATAGGGATCCATAGCGGGAGGCCGTTGGCGACCACCTCGATGCGGCGTCCGTCGCTCGCGGGCATGTCGAGGTTGAGGTCTCTGAGGGCGACGTGCGGGCACCAGCCTCCCTGCAGATGCGAGCCGCTGCCCGTCCCGAGTCAGCCTACTGCGTGCGGGGCCGTCTGCACCCCGCGTTGCGCGCTCAGAGTCGAGTGGGCGCCGGGGGCTGGTGCCAGGAGCTCCCCGAGTGGGGGTTCCAGG